CTTCCCTTGGGTATACACCCAGTAATGGAATTGCTGGTTCAAATGGTAGTTCTATTTTTGATTCTTTGAGAAATCTCCAAACTGCTTTCTACAGTAGCTGAAATAATTTAAATTCCCACCAATGTTGTATAAGCATCCCCTTTTCTCAGCAGTCCTGCCAACATCTGTTATTTTTTACTTTTTAATAATTGCCATTCTGACTGGCATGAAATGTAGTTTTGATTTGTATTTCTCTAATGACTGGTGATGATGAGCATTTTTTCATATGTTTGTTGGCCCCTTATATGTGTTTTTTTGAGAAATGTGTCTTCCTGCCCTTTGCCCACTTTTTGATGAGGCTATTTGTTTAGTGCTTATTGAATTATTTAAATTCCTAATAGATTCTGTATATTATACCTTTGTTGATGCATGGATAGTGGATGTTTTCTCCCATTCTGTATGTTGTCTGTTTATTGATAATTTCTTTTGTTGTGCAGAAGCTCTTTAGGTTAACTAGGTCTTAATAATTTTTGTTTTTGTTGCAGTTGCTTTTAAAGACTTAATCATGAATCCTTTGCCAAGGCCAATGTTGGGAAGGGTGTTTCCCAGGTTTTCTTCTAGGATTTTTATAATTTGAAGTCTTATATTTAGGTACTTACTCCATCTTGAGTTAATTTGTGTATATCATGACAGGTAGTGTTCCAGCTTAATTTTTCTGTATATGGCTGGCCAGTTATCCCAGCTCCATTTATTGAACAGAGGTGCCTTTCTCTATTACTCACATTTGTCAGTTTTGTCAAGGATCAGATGGTAGTAGGTGTGCAGCTTTATTTCTGTGGTCTATTCTGTTCCATTGGTCTATGTGTGTTTTTGTGCCAGTCCCATGCTGTTTTGGTTACTATACCCTTGTAGTATAGTTTGAAGTCAGGTAATATGATGCCTCTGGCTTTGTTATTTTTGTTTGGGATTGCTTTGTCTATTTAGGTCCTTTTTTGTTTCTATATGAATTGTTGAATAGTTGTTTCTAATTCCATGAAGAATGATGTTTGTAGTTTGACAGGTATAGCATTGAATCTTTGAATTGCTTTGGGCAGTATGGCCATTTTTATGTTATTGATTCTTCCAATCCGTAAGCATGAAATATCTTTCCATTTGTTTCTGTCATCTCTGATTTCTTTCAGCAGTGTTTTATAGTTCTCCTTGTAGACATTTTTCACCTTCTTGGTTAGATGTATTCCTAGGGTTTTTGTTTTGTTTTCTTTGTTTGTTTGTTTGTTTGACTATTGCAAATGGGATGCCATTCTTGATTTGGCTCTCAGCTTAAATATTGTTGGTGTATAGAAATTCTACTGACTTTTGTACATTGATTTTATTTCCTGAAACTTTAGTGAAGTTTTTTCTTTATCAGTTCAAGGAGCCTTTTGGCTAGTCTTTAGGGATTTCTAGGTGTAGAATCATATTGTCTGCAAAAAGAGATCGTTTGACTTCTTCTTTTCCTGTTTGCATGCCTTTTTTTCTTTCTCTTGCCTGACTGCTCTGAGTAGTACTTGCAGTATTATGTTGAAAAGGAGTGGTGAGAGTGGACATTTTTTTTCTTGTTCCAGTTCTCAAGGGGAATGGTTCCAGCTTTTGCCTGTTGGGTATGATGGTGACTGTGGGTTTCTCATACATAGCTCTTATTATTTTGAGGTACATTCTTTTGATGGTTAGTTTGTTGAGGGTTTTATCATGAAGGGATATTGAATTTTATCGAAAGCTTTTTCTGTGCCTATTAAGATGATCTTTTCTTTGTTGTTTTTAATCCTGTTTATGTGGTAAATTACATTTATTGATTTGTGTATGTTGAACCAACCTTGCATCCCAGGAATAAAGGCTCTTTGATCGTGGCGAATTAACTTTTTGATGTGCTGCTGGATTCGGATTGCTAGTATTTTGTTGAGGATGTTTGTGTCTATGTTCGTCAGGGATATTGGCCAGTAGTTTTCTTATTTTCCTTCTTTCTCTGCCAGCTTTTCCTCTAAGGATGATGCTAGCTTCATAGGATGAGTTGGGAAGGAGTCCTTCCTTTTCAATTTTTTGGAATCGTTTCAGTAGGATTGGTACCAGCTCTTCTTTGTACATCTAATAGAATTTGGTTGTGAATCAGTATGGTCTTGAGCTTTTTTTTGGTTGGTTGGTGTTTTATTTCTGATTCAATTTTGGAACTTGTTCTGTTTAGGGCTTCAAATCTTCCTGATTCAATTTTGGGAGCTTGTATGTTTCCAGAATTTTACCCATTTCCTCCAGATTTTGGATTTTGTGTACTAGATGTTCATAATAGTTATCTGAAGATTTTTTGTATTTCTGTGGGATCGGTTGTAATGTCATCTTTGTTATTTCTGATTGCTCTTATTTGGATCTTCTCTCTTTTTTCTTTGTTAATCTAGCTAGCAGTCTGTAAATCGTGTTTATTCTTTCAAAGAACCAACTTTTGGTTTCATTGATATTTTATGTGGATTTTTGGTTCTCAGATTTTCTTCTGCTAGCTCTGGGGTTATTTTGTTCTTGTTTTCCCAGTTCCTCTAGTTCTTGCACAGAGTTTTAATCAGACATTGATTCTTAACATTTCTTTAAAGTGACCCTACAACCAAGTGCCATAAATCAGTTAAATAGTACAGTAGTTTATTATTCAACAAACATTTTTCAACACTGATTAGATTTCATTATGCTGCTAGGTATAATAGAAAACAGCAAAATAAATAACCCATAGTTCCTGTTCTCAAGGAACTTAATATAGGATAAAATAAGGATTTTGGGGATCAACATTGGAGTTTTGGTTTTCCCCACTTAATACATGACTGTGGGCAAGTCATTTAATTTATTTTTTGAATTTTTTTCTGGATGTTAGCTTCTTTGTCTTTAAAATGGGGTTGACAATACTTCTCTTGAAGACTTTTAAAGCGTAAAAGTAATGTAGAGTCATGTGTCACTTAACAATGGGGATACCTCCTAAGAAATGCATTGTTAGGCAATTTTATCATTGTGTGAACATCACAGAGTATACTTACACAAACCTAGATGGCATAGCCTAGTGCACACCTAAGCTATATGGTAAGCCTGTTGCGCCTAGGCTACAAACCTGTACAGCATGTGACTATACTGATTACTATAGGCAATTGTAGCACAATGGTAAGTATTTGGGTATCTAAACATAGAAAAAGTACAGAGAAAATATAATATAAAAGACAAAAAATGTTATACCTTTAATAGGTCACTTACCATGAATAGATCTTGAAGGACCAGAAGTTGCTATGTGTTAGTGAGTGAGTGAGTGAGTGGTAAGTGAATGTGAAGACCCAGGATATTACTGTACACTACTGTAGAATTTGTAAATACCATATACTTAGGCTACAATAAATTTATTTTCAAATGCTATTCTCTGTTCAATAATAAATTAACCTTAGCTTACTATAACTTTTTAATTGTATAAACTGTTCAATTTTTAGAAACTCGTTGACTCTTTTGTAATAATACTTAGCTTAAAACACAAACACATTGTACAGCTGTACAAAAATATTTTCTTTATATCCTTATTCTATTAATTTTTTTTTTACTTTTTAAACTTTTTTGTTAAAATCTAAGACACAAACACACACATTAGCCTAGGTCTACACAGGGTCACGATCATCAATATCACTTCCACGTTCACAGCTTATCCCATTGGAAAGTCTTTAGGGACAATAATAACACAGAGCTGTCATCTCCTGTGATAACAGTACCTTCTAGAATACTTCTAAAAGGGCCTGCCTGAGGCTACTTTACAGTTAACTTTTTGTTAGAAGAGGGAATATATTCTAAAATAACAATAAAAAGTATAGTATAATAAATACATAAGCCAGTAACGGTCATTTGTTATTATCATCATGTATTATGTATTGTATGTAATTGTATGTGCTATACTTTTCTATGGTGGCAAAGTAAGTTTGTTTATACCAGCATCACCACAAACGTGTGTAATATATTGTACTACGATGTTATGAAGGCTATGACTATGACAGTATAAGGGCTATGGCAACATTAGGAAATAGAAATTTTTTAGCTCCTGTATAATCTTATGGGACCACCATCATATATGCAGTCTATCTTTGAAACATGTTATGTAGCATGTGACTATATTTAGTTAGCACAGTGTCTAGCCCATGGTAAGTACATAGTTATTAGTAGCTGTTACTGTTATTGCCCACCTCATATGGAGTTCTCAGTAAATGTTACTGTCTTTTCCTTTTTGCTTACAACCTATCCTCCACTAATGTAAACTTGTAGTTAATATGAAATAGTATCATCTAACATTCAGGAAGTGACCTTTGTTATCCCTGAAATCAACAAGCAAGTGAGCAAAGCCTCATAAAATTCATTTTGACTTCTTAATGCAGATTTCACTGAGTGTACTGGAAAAGAGAGTTTTCAAGTCTGGAATCTGTTTTCTCAAAACTGGTTGAGCACAAACGTGAAAGCCATTCATAAGGATTAAACTTTGAGTATCTGAATAGTAACTGGTCACAAGTGGTCAAACTCTGTAGTTCCAAAGGCTGTATTAATTGTGGAGGGGTAGTTTTTATTAGGAACATTTGCATACATACACAAAAGTGGAAAGAATAGTATAATGAAATCCCACACAGTACCCATAATCCAGCTCCAACAGTTATCAACTGAAGTAGGTTTTAACTGAAACATTTCAGTTAAAAATGGACATTTCCAGCTCAATATGTGTTTCTTTAACTTATTATTTTTTAATCCTACGTCATGGGTTGAGTTAGAATCCCACTTTAATGTTTGCTTTTTGTTAAGCTTTTTAAAAATTAGTTTGGATTAATAATCAAAGATTTGCTTTCTATAAATATCATATAAAAAATTTTTCAGGGCACATTTTTAAATCAAAAGGCCAAAAGAAAAATGCATAGGTTTATAACTTTTTTTTTTACAAAAAGGAAATATTTAAATATGCTGGGTAGAACATATTTTGTTCTGTCTTTGTTTTGAAGGTTTGGCTTGAGCAACAAGTTTGATACTGAATTTCCCTCCGTTCTAACAGGGAAGGTAAGTGAGAATTTGCTTTGAAGTTTTCAGTTCTAAAGCATTGTTGTATGGCTTACTCATTGTTATGACAAATGCTTTGAATCATTGTTAATGAAGTCAAGTAATAGGAGGCCTCAGTAGTTGGAAGCTGTGTTTATAGTGTCTGAAAGCTGTTGCCATGGCTACCAGCCTCTGACCAGTTATTTTGTTCATTGTCCATTAATGCTAGCCATTATTTATTTATCCATTCAGCTTTTTCACTTTTGCATTTTTTTTTCTCAGCATAGGTAGCTATAATTGTTTTTATTTGGGTCATTAATTTCCAGTGTTTTTAGAGTTAAAGTTATTTTTTTAACTGTATCACTACTATTAATTTTTAAAGTACCATATGGTATGATTTGTTATACATGAAAATAATTAAATTTTTTATTAGATGTTTTTCTGACTTTTAGATAGTTTGAGTTAGTAAGATTGGACTCACTGTAATAAATTAGTACCTTTCTAGTCCCTGGTTTTCTACATTGAGTAGTAGTTTCTAGTAAATTCATAGATTTACTAGGATTCAAAACTATAAATTTAAAAACCTAATGCACAGCCTGATTACTATAGTTGATAATACTGTATTATACACTGGAAATTTGCTGAGAGTAGATTTCAGGTGTTCTTATCACAAAATAACAAAAAGGTGACCGTGAGGAGATGGATATGCTAATGTGTTTGACTAGTAATCATTTTACTGTGTATATGTATATCAAAACATCATGTTGTACACCTTAAATATATACAGTTTTTAAAAAGAAACAATATTTGGAAGATCATCTTATGACAATAATGTGAACTTTCTATCCCAAAGGAAAAGGCTCTGCCTAAGGCAAAAAGTTATTTATATATGTTTGTTACTTGAGCAATTGTAGAAGAGGAGAGAAAAACCATTGTAATATAGAATACTCAATCATTGCCAAATAGTTAACAGTTGAAAGCTTGGATAGCTAAAAAGATGATTAGGGGTTAAAGGAAATTAACTTTTTGTATTTTGAAGCCTTTAAATTAAATATATTTAATTTTAGTGCTAGAATAATGGTATTTGTCAGTATAGATTTTGGTCATGTTTTAAAATTATCTCATCTAACAGGTTTTTTATTCTATTGTAGCATCAATTATTCTCATATTGTTGGTGAGAAAAGCAAAATGAAAATCAGTGTGTTTAGTATGTGTAATAAATTGGAGAAATAAGTCCTTTAATAAATGTATTTTTACATAAAGAAATTCTAGAGAGATACTCATGAAACTAATAAAAGTTATTACCTTTGATGGGAGAAGAGGAATGAGATGGATGGAGGCAAGGGTAAGGATGAGACTTTTCTGTATATCTTTTAGTATTGCTTTCATTTTTAAACCGTGTGACTATATTGCCTTTTGAACTTTAATTTATTCTTAATTCAATGTCCCTTGTTCTAAACTCTTTGAGAACCAGAAAAGATGCTTCTACTGACATTTGCTTATTTTTGTCATGCATTTTCCAACTGTGTATTCTTTTTGCTTTTGGTCTAATCACAATCTTCCCCCCAGCCTCTTTGGGGGAGTAGACAGCAGACCTATTTCTTTTTTCAAGGAACATCTTTGAAATCATAAGAAATTCTGTTTAATTTAACCCTGCAAGGTATGTTACACTTTATTTGCTTTGTTTTCCCCTTGAAAAATGGGAGGTAGCTTGAGATAAAATATAGTAGTTAAACAAGCTTTGCAGTCAAATCTGGGTTGGAATCCAAGTTCTGTCACTTACCGTGTGGCCTTGGGCAGGTCACTTCTCTGAGCCTCAGTTCTTATGTGAAAAATAGAGATGATGCTGATAGTTACCTCACTTTTTAATTTAAGAGTTAAATGAGAGAGCATATATTAAATTCCTAGTATTCTGTCATGTACTTATTAGCTTCCCAATGTTAGTTTGTAGTTGCTGTTGACTATTCTTCATCATTGTATTGTAGTTTCACCCTGGTTGCTTTTCATTTTACTCACTGGCTTTCAATTTTTCATTGCTTTTGCAATTTTTCTTCATCTAATTCTGAGAGAATACATTATTATTCTCTGGTCTCACCGCTAATTTGTTCTGTTGACTGTTGATCTTTTCTGTCTCTTCTGAGGTATAATATCAAATCATTCCACTGAATACTAAACAGGTGGTCATAGTTCCTGGCTAAGTTAGCCTTAGAAAATATGTGGCCATTTAACATTTTAGGACACAAAGAACCCTTTGGTGTGAGATTTTGGCTCACTCTTTAGTACGTTCTACCTTCCTATCCTGGTGAATTGGAATAATTTACCAATTGAAGCAGCAGCCTAGACTTAGATTTGTCTTATATGAATTAATCATAAATGTTTTTTTCAAATGAATAAAGTAGCTATGGAAATATATCTTGAATAATAATGTATTTTTGTAGAAAGATGGTAAATTCATTATTAAAATTAAAAAGAAAGTGAATTATAAGAACTTCAGTAAAAAACTTATTCTTCATGTTTCCTTTGATGCTGCTGCATGTATTGTAGGTGTAGTTATATCCAACTTTACCATTGGCTGAGTTTGAAATACAGGTCCAAGAAATTCTAGAAATGAATTATCTAAAAAATACGCCAGTGTATAAAATTCCCAGGCATACAAATTATCTATTTTCGAAATTGGCCTATTTTATATGCTCAAGGAATCTTCAGAATATCTTTTCACACCTTCTCATTTATTTACAAGCCTTCTGAAACTAAAAATTCCAGTGGCCCCAAAGGTAGTAGACTGTTTTAAACTAGAGGAGTAAGAAAGAATAACAAGCTGCTCTTGGTATGCGCTCACACAGCCTAAATTATCTGGATATGAGCTGCTCATAAAGATATCCATTCTTTTCAAGTGATTGTTTTTGTAGCACATTATTGTAATGACTTGAGTATTTATTTAAGTGTACATTATGTATAGTGTACAAAATTTATCATGTGTTGGATAAGGTATAAATTATAACTGTGATATTTTTCTTAGCATGTGTTTGGTGATGGGAAAAACGCTAAAAGGAATTCTGAAGACCTGATTTTTGAAAGTCACATGGTGGTAACATTAGCTTTATTCATTTTCTCCTTGAGATAATTTTTCTCCGACTGGTACTTTCATTTGTATATGTTCCTTTGCATTATCAAAATGCTTCTCAAATAACTGGAGAGAAAAGGCAAATATTATTCATGTGTATCTGAGGAAAAAAATAAAAGAAAAAAGGTCTAAATTCGAGACTTAACAGCTCTTACATTAAAATATTTTTAAATGAATAACCGTGACAGCTAAAGTAGAAAAAAAGTCTACCTTTTACGAAATCCAAAATCAGTCTTCCAATATGAATGCAATTCTAAATAGTTTTTATGCCTGCCTGAGCTAAGCAAAATTGCAGAGGGAAGTCTGAAAACCTCAAAAAACAATTTTGACAAGCTCTGTGGCTCAATTTTAATTTTTTGCTTCTTATGTGTTAATGCTTTTAGTGCAAACAAAAAGATAACCTTTTATTTTAAGTGCAGAAAAGATTTTTTCCGTATTTCATATCGAGCAGATGTATACACACAGATTCTAGTGACCAGAAAATAAAAGAACCACAGAAATTTAGAAAAGAAAGTAAAGCTTTTGGCCCTCAGCTTGAAACAATTAAACCGTGTTATAGGGAGACTAGTGTGCAGTGTTTGGGGATTGTAAGCAATAAAAATCGACCTTTACTATTGTGATACAGTATGACACCTGATTGATAGGATTGTGTTCCCCATGATTGAAGGAAGCAGATCAGACCTGCTGGGGTTTCCTTAGAGTTTCTTCTGTTTACAGAGTCTCTTGCATCCTGTTATAAAATATTATGACCCTTTACCCCACCTTTATGGTGTGGTTTTCTTTTTTCATTCCAAGAAAGCCAAAAGAAATGAAATGTTTCTTTACAACCTACTGTTCAGTTAGAAAGTAAGGGTCTTCTACTATCTAACCTTCATTGCTAGAGATACTCAATTATATGAAAGTAAATGAGTAAAATGTTAACCTGATCCTACACAGTTAACTAAACGTTTCTTTCACGTTGTTTAAAATTGAGTAAACTAATTATCACTTCTTATGTCTTTAGCCCTGTTTTATGACTTTTACTGTTACTCAAATACAGATTTCTTTCAAAGGCAATCCTGTCCTCCTTTTAAAGTCAAAATGCAGATGTTAGTTTATTGTTTGAAACTCTAGTAAAAGCTTTTCTTTTCAATATATTTGTCTTATGACCTCAAAACATTTGAATTCTCATTTTTAGTAACTTGAATATTTTAGTTTTTAATTTGTCCATGGTAAGAAAATAGAAATTGAGACTATTAAATGTTAAAAAGAAGAAAGTGTTGGCGGGAAAGAAGGAAAATGACCACATATTTAGGTAATGTTTTGTTTTCAATTCCAGAAGCATATAATAAAAGGCAAATTTTATAACAAATTTTATATACCTCAGCATACAATTTATTTTATTCACAATGTTTGAAATAAAAAGCCAGTTTTCTCTTCCCTCTTTTATTCTCTAGCTTTTGTCTCCGTCAGTCTTCTAACACTATTCATCCCTGGTAGAAGTGGAGCTTTCTTTTCTAAGGCTCCTTATAAACAATTTTTTTTTCTTTTGGACTGACTCATTTCTGCACCTTTTAGTTTTATTTTTTAACATCTGTGTTTGTACTTACTTTTTAAATAAAAATGTAAATTCCAGTTACAAACATTTAAATTTGTAAATGGACAGATTTAATAATTTTATGATTTGCATGAGTTTATATCAAAATTTACCATGTTTAAAAAACATATTCTGGATACATAATTTAAAGAGAGTTGACAGTAATGTAATATAGATTAAAGCTAAATATGTACATATTTTTTCTTTATTTTAACTTCTATTTGGTTGCTCAGTGATTCCCTAGGAGAAAAGAAGTTGAATATTGCTGTTGGAGAGGTAAATCTCAAGATAGAAACTTGGTACCTTGTTTTTAGAAAGAAGAGCTTTTTTGTTTTTGTTTTTGTTTTTGTTTTGCTGAAGAATTAAAGAGCATTGAATCTGAGTTTAACGTGCAGCAGATTATAAACAAATTATGCTTTTGTTTATAATATATAGGAAAACTATGGAATATTAATAGTTACTTGAGTAAACCCATTGCCTTCAGGTGAGATTTCATACAAAAGAGATCTGTTTCTTTTCTTTCTCCAAACCTTCTCAGAGACATGATTCATGGACTTTCTTTTTCAAAGCATTTTGGTCAGGAGGTTACTTCCAAGGATTAATTTACATTTTCTGTGACATATATAAAACGAAGATTATTATTCTCGTTTTATCAGTGGGAAACTGAAACTCAGAAAATTAAATGATTTTGGCTGGATTTTTCATAGCTAATAAGTAACTATAATTCAAGTCTCTTGATCTGTTTTTCAGTGTTTTTAGTTTGTCTTAGTGTGCTTAGTGCACTAAGTTTGTTTTTGTTAGTGTTTTCTAATTTCAATTATAAGGCAAGGCTCTCTGAATTTGTTTTCATATTTACTTGGAAATTTTGCCATTTAATTGGAATTCTTTGCACACAGTGATTGTCTTTATATCATGTTGCTGACAGTCTAGATGGAGAATGAAATTAGTTTACTTGCTCCGTGTAAACAAAGTTTTGAGCGTTATAATTTCACAACTATTGTTTGTTAACATATTAGTAAGAAAATCAGATTCATGGGCTAAGCAGTTAACCTTATTGAGTGACATGAACAATTCTAATAAAGCTTCTAATAAAGCTTATATTCTTAATGTTTAGCTTACTTTAGTGCTGAATTCTGTGATCATGTATTTTTATAACATTTGCTAATAGGTATATGTTTTATAGTGTTGATTAAGAGACAAAAATGTAATACATTGATTCCTCAAGTATAATTTTTATTTGGAATAGTGGTAGTAAAGCTCTATATTTTTGATTCCTAACCTGCTAATGTGGTTTTTATTTTATAGTACCTTACTTTTCCTAATAATTGCATAATTTTTGCTTTTGTAGCCAGATGCTAAAAGTTCTTTCGTAAACTTTATAGTCTGACAGCTTTCTAAATGAAAGAGAATCATTTTTGTAATCCAGAAATGTGATTTCACTGAAAGCAAAGTATTTTTAGTGTACGTTTGAATTTCATAACCTTCAAGCAGAATTTTTGGTATAAATCTAATTATTCCAGTCATGTGCATGCCTTTGAACTGACTTTGTCCTTGTTTACAGAGAAGCACAAGCAGCCACTTCCAGGAAAGGAGGTAGTAACTAGAAATATTAAACTTGTGTATTTAAAGACCTTTCAACTTTGAAAATTTACAGCAGTTCTGAGTCCATTTTATAATGAATATTAACAGGCCATTTTGAATGCAATCACTAGGCATTGTCTTTTGGTAGTGTAACTAACAGTGGCTAATGTTAAAATTGTTATATTGCAAATTTGCCAGGGAATAAGGGTTTGAGAGTTGCCTTTTTCAAAGTAATCCAGGAATATTGCCAAGGTCTAATTTTAATTGCATTTCCTCTAGTAGTATTTGGGTTTTTATTGTTGTGTTATGCTTCTAGTCTTACCCAGCTTTTACTCATAATGACTAGAGACTATCAATTATACTGCCTTGATAATGAGACTATTTGGTAAGAAAACAGCTTGAATGTTATCCTTTTCTGTCAAGTTTATTGCAGTCATTTTATTGGTGGTCATTTCAGAAGATTGTTTTTCAACATCAGGCTAAGTTCTATGAACATGAAATTATATTGTTGTGCTTTTCAGTGGCACCGTAGAGTGTGTGAACATATTTATGGGGAATATATCTATTTAGATATTTGTGATTCCTCAAATTATTTGTAATAAACGTTTTTCTTAGATTTAGAGATAGTGAAAAGCTGCCCACAAACTGTTAAAGATTATACCCTCTTGTAGGTGGCCCCAGAAGAATTTAAGACCAGCATTGGCCGTGTGAATGCATGTTTGAAAAAGGCTCTCCCGGTCAATGTGAAATGGCTGCTGTGTGGTTGTCTCTGCTGCTGTTGCACACTGGGTTGCAGCCTATGGCCTGTTATTTGTCTCAACAAAAGAGTGAGTAACTGTTTTATTGTATAATAATAATAATAACTAACATTTACGAAAACTTACTATGTGCTATGAACTCTTTTCAAGTACTTTACACAATTTATTTAATTCTTGTAACAATGCTATCTTTTTTTTAGAGATAAGGAAACTTGGGAACAGACACATTGTTATTTGTCCAACTTTTACCATTTAACATGGGTTCCCATCATTTCACATAAATGCAGTATAAGTTAAATACTAAGTAATTATAAATGTAAGTGGGCTACTTATTCTTTTTAAAATACTTGATGCTGTGACTTAAGGTATTTCCAAGTTATAGGTATAAAGGAGAGCTTCTGATCTGAAGAAAGGCAAAAGTGAGAGTAACCTACAAAGTTTGCAGGGCAAATCCTTAGTTTTAAACATGTTACAATAACATGCTAGCATAGCGTTACTACTTATGTCATAGATTTAAGAGTACTCTCTTAATCTTGTCTTCTTTAAAATTTCACTTTAGTTTTTGTGAATTTTTTCCTCTGGTGGGAAGAGACCTTTAAAACATTTCAATTGAAGCCAATGAGGAAAATTAATTCATTTTACCTAAAGTATTTTTCCTAGTACTGCATGAATGATTTCATTTAAACTTTTATATAATAAGTAGCCAACGAAATCAGATTCAAAATTATAGTGCCTTGTGGAAGAATAATTAGTGGTGCAGTTATTTTATTAAAGCCAAAAATATTCCCAAGAAGCACTCATTATTTTATCATCTCCATTCTTTTCTTGCCTGGTTTAATGTTTACTTCAAAAAGACAAATAATGAAATATTGCCAACTCTATGACTTTTTGAATGGAAAAGTTAAGCATTTTATTGATTCTGTTGGCAGTCACAAGTAGGTCAGAGCTTCACTTTAAACATTGCTTAGTTTATTGTTTGTCAAAGCAGATACAGTATTCTCAAATGGTTTTCTATAAATTAAAAAAAAAGCTGATAGCATAAATTCCTTTTCTTAATTGTCATATCTTACTTTTAAAAGCTAAATCAGTAGCTCCTACCCATCCCTATTATTTTTAAAGCCTCAGTATGAATTAATCATGTTTGAATTTCCCCTCATGTAAATACAGCTAATCTCAATTACTTAAGAACAGATTTTTTTTTTTTTTTTGGTTTCTGTATTATCCAGGACTGCCCTTTTTCTGATGACCTGTTTACACTTTGTCTATTTGTTAATACCTTCACCAGAAGGCCTGAAATAAGGAGAAACATTTTTTTTCAATTATTTGATTTTACTATCAATACTTTGAATAAAATATTCAATGGAAACTAAGATAATACTGATGCTCTGATCTCTGCTATCCTCCATTACTTTGGATAATTAAAAGCTCATAGTGAAGTTGAGGCATCAGTATATTCTAGTTCGCAAATCTGTCCATTTAAAAAATTTATTTAATATAGATTTATGAATTGTCATCCATGAGCCAAATACAGCCCACTCTGTTTTTAAACATTTTAAGCAGTTTACCAGCATTTAAACATTGGAATATTTAAAATTCATGATATCCAGCCTCTTGTAAAATCTAAAGATCTGGCAATACTGGACCCACATGGCTATATGTCAGCAGTTGGCTCTAAGTGGTGGCTGCTTCCTTTAAGTAGAACATACATTCTCTGGTTCATCTTAGAAACCACCGATAGTTTACATTATCTGCCTTGCTGTGTAAGCGTTATAGTTCACGGCCTCTGATTTTGTATGTGCCATGTTGTCAACACTATACTAGACCGCAAAACGTTAAGAACATGCTGGTAACCTTGTGCAAGTCACTGTTCTTTCTGTGTACTCAAGTTTTCTCACCTATAAAATCGAGATACTACTAGTTACTTTAAACATGGTTTTATGATGAAATTTAAAGCAACTCAAAGATGTCTGTCTACATGAAAAAATATAAAATATAATTAAGAATTTTTATACATTCACTACTGATTTTCTAATCTGTAAAATAAGTTGAATAGACTACAATAGTTTAATTGGAAGGATGATTTGCATTCATATAGTTCACATCCCTTATTTTACCGGTGTGGACATAAATCCAGAGAAGTGAAGTGACTTTCTCAGAGTCACATGGCAAATAGCCCAGCCACAAAAATAATCCTTGCTTTATTTTGTTTTTGTTTTTGTCTTTAACACTGCATTCTCTTGACTACATCGTGTTTCTTACATCAAATTGACTAGTCCTGAGACAAGAAATGTTCACATAAGTTGTATAATAAACAACCCACTGAATTTTAATTCTTTAGCAGTGAATAGAAAACCAAATAGTAAATATTTTAGTCTTTGTGGGCCAGAGGTCTCTGTTGCAACCACTTAACTATGGCATCGTCACATGTAAACAGCCATAACCATATGTAAGTGAGTGAACATTACTGTGTTCTCATAAAACTTTATTTACAAAAACAGGCAGCAAGCCAGATCTGGCCTATGGGCTGTTGTTTGACATCTTGCTATAGCCATCTCTAATTGGGTATCTAGCTTTATCCAAGTCATATCTCTGTTTGCTCACAAAATAAAATGGAAATAATAATGAAGATGCTATGTTAGCCAATTATTGAAAATGTTTCCAAGACAAGAATTTTTATGTAGATAGTCTGCCTTATAATTTTTTTGGCAGTATAATTCATGGGAATTTTCTCTAGCAAATTAGATGATAAAGAAAAGAAATATAGGTCAGAGTGCCTTGAGTTCCCCCTAATCTCTCTTGGCTCTGGTGGGATTTCACAGCTACATGATACATGAAATGAGGCTTTTCATTTACCTGTTCTTCTATATACCACTGAGCCAACTGTGATATCATAGTCAGTTTCAGCCCCAGTCGTGCTGTCACTCAAAATTTGAAATTACTTTTATCCTTTCCTTTTTTGCTTTAATACTTATTAAATTGAGAGAGATGGTCAGAGGAATGGACTACTTTCTGACTCATGACATGAATATGATGTTTCAGGAGACAGAGGTTGTAATTCACTGTCCTGATTGATTCTGTGTTTTTGTAGCTAATTATAAAAAGAAGGAAAAGCATATGATAGAAACAAATGCCCCATCCATACATTATGCCATTTGGAAAAGAAAATCAGTCTTTGCAATGAGAGACAAATAGTTCTGCCAAGAATTAAGCAAATTACATGTAATCTACGTGTAATTTAGGTCTTACATAAAATACATTTTGTGCTCTTGGTCAAAGACAACATGCATAAAGCAAGTGCATTGAGTATTATAACTTGGTCATAGACTGCCTTTTCCTTACTATCTTTGAACCTTTAATTTATGTGTCAACATTGAGTCATTTGAGCCGTATATAAGAAAATGATGTTTATGGCACATTAATACTAAAAGCTGATAAGTTTGCTTTCTTTTTTGTGAGCTTTACTAGCTAATTGTATTGAATGTAGGATTTGTATCTGCTCTGCAGAAGTACAGTGATTGGTATTAAGCTAACTTTGATACTTTTCTGGTCAGCTTGAGAGTCAGCCATCTTACTTACAAAATAATTTATTGAGAAATAATTTACAGAACATAAAGTTAACTCATATTAAGAGAACAATTCATTGAATGTTAATGTACTTACAGAGTTGTGTAACTATCACCATAATCTAATTGTAGAACATTTCCATCATCCTAAGAGTAAACCTTGTGACCACTTTTAGTCACTCCCAATTTCCCTCCAATCCTTCCAGCCCTAAACAACCACTGATGTACCTTCTCTCTTATATTCACATTTTTGAACATTTTATACAATATGTACTCTTTCAGGGCTTTTAAAACTGAGCATAATGGTTTTCTGTGGAAAAATACACATGACATAAAATTTGCATTTTTAACTAAAGTGTATAATTCAGTGGCATTAACTACATTGACAGTATTATGCAACCATCCACTATCTAGTTTCAGAAATTTTTTATCACCTGCAAGGAAAATCCCATATCCATTAAGCAGTCATTTCTCATTTTCCTTCCCCTCAGTTAGGAAGTTAAGAAGTGTTTCCCTCTCTTCTGTATTTTACAAAAGTTTAAGAAGGATTGGTATTCTTCTTTTAAATATTTGGGAGAATTTTCTTTCTTTTGGACATATACCTAACAGTGACACCATCTGATCTTGGGATTTTTTTTTTCTTGATAGGTTTTTGATTACACATTCAATATTTACTTGTTATAGGTCTATTCAGGTTTTCTATTTCTACTTGAGTCAATTCTGGGAGTTTGTTCATTTCATCTAGGTTGTCTAGTTTGTTGGCCTATAATTATTTTTACTATTCTCTTCTAATTTTTTTCTAAATTACTGTAAGAGTGATATGTAATGTCCCTATTTTCATTTCTGATTCTAGTCATCTCAGTCTTCTTTTTTGTCTTAATCCTTGTAGCTGAAAGTTTGTCAAATTTCTTTTCAAACAAAAAACTTTTGGACTTGTTCATTTTCTCTATTGTTCTATTCTGTATTTCATTTCTCTCCACTGTTTTTTCCTTTCTTCTGCTATGTTTGGGTTTAGTTTGCTCTTTTTAGTTCCATAAGGTCTAAATTTAGGTTATTGATTTGAGATCATTCTTCTTTCTTAATGTAGGCATTTACTGCCCTCAGTGAATGTACATTGCTTACTCGCATTCTGAGATACTGGTAGTTGTGATTTCAATGTATGAATTTTGAGGGAATATAATTCAGCCCATAACACATAAGGAAGGACCTGTGCTATTTTGCTCATTTGTTTTCCATGTCGTATGTTTTTTGTTCCTCAATTCCTTCATTACTTATTTATTTTATGTTTAATTGAGGTTTTTTAGTGTACTGTGTACCTTATTTCCTTTTCTGTATCTTTTCAAGTTATTTTCTTAGTTGTTACAATTAACAACTTATAAAATACTAGTTTGAGTTAACATCACCTTAGCTTTAATAGTATGTAAATTCTACTGCTATATATATCCATACCTCCCATTTTATGTTGTTGTTATCACAAATTATATGTTATGTATTGTGTGTCCATTA